GAACCTTCCTACGAGGAGCAACCTTTCACCACACTCGTGTGCTGTGATTTTGGCTCACTGCATCTACACATCGCTTTTGCACTCACATGCCTTTCTTGTCTCTCACAACATTCCTAGTCGCTCCTTTCGAAATCGTTGTGCCCGCCCCTCATCAAGCAAAAGCTCTTATTTGTTGTTGCTCGCACTACTACATCGCTACCTTTGCTCCCACTATCCCTTATGTACTCATGTGCAGATGATTAGTTCAACAATGTTCGGCCACCACCTTTCGTTGTGGAGCCCATCTTTCTTTTTGCTTCCTGAGGTTACTTTGTCTCCTTTGTCGCGCTACTAAGCATCAAAGTTAAAGATCCATCTCATGCTTCATCTTTGCCTTTCGTCTCCACTTGTCAGATGTTTATGATCCTATGGCTAGTGATGATCTTATTACACCTTCATATTGGATCTCTCTAGATACTGATGCTAAAACTCCCTCTTTTACCTCTCTCTATTTTCTTTGCAAACATTGTCAAAGAAAGTGTTATTTGCAGTCAAATTCATCAATAGGTTTCCCTCTATAATTTCAGCATGGCCGAATTCTATGAGGCACAAGTCAGCTACTATCATGGTAAACCCATTCATTTTTTTCGAAGGTAAAGATTTCTGATCTAGTTGGCCCATTCTTCTACCATTTGTTTGGTAAATTTTCCTTTAGCCAATCAAGCTTAGAGATTATTTGCACCTTCATGATAAATATTCACTTGTTAGGTGAACCTTCTATTAGACATCACATGCTTATCAAAATATGGTAGTAGATCCACCACATTATCAATACATGCTATAATCTTTGGTACAATTTTGGCAAACCATTACAAGTGCATGCTGCTACCAATAGAAACTCTTGATTATTTATCCTCGTGTTCTTGTTGAGATTGGCATTTCCACCCTTGTGAATCAAGAAGATCGGATTACTATTTCCTCAAGTGGCTATTGGAAAAAATAAATAGATTTTAAAGGTTTGCACTCTTGATGCAAGTCATGTAAAATTTTTTTAAATTACTATATTAATTGCTTCAAGACCCATCCGGAATTTAAGAAATCATTCTTTATGGTTCCAAAAGATATCATTGGCTATTTTGATCATAGTATGCACATGTGGGAATTTTATGTTGATAACACTAATCATCATTTGCAGCTTAATTCTCCCACTTTCTTAGTCTCTCTAGGGGATGTTCATGCCCTAAATATTATGCTATAATCATCTTTTGAACTAGGCCTTCACTTATTGTCAATGGTTCGTTAGATGATAGTACCCCTCCTCCTCCATCTCTAATATCATCTGCTTTAGATGTCAAAATTCATTTAGAATCATGCATGAGTATCCGTCAACCTACAAAGGGTCCTCCAGTTGCTCATGTAATTTTTTCTCCTTGTGGCATTACACTTATGTTCCCTAATGTTATATTTTATTTCGTTGAAATGGAGGTTGCTAATGATTGAAGCTTGATCTAGTCTCAAGATTCTATCAGAACATTATCAGGTTTAATGAAAAAAAGGTTTCAACAAGTGTTTTCTGGTCAAAGCAATAATCAAAAAATTTCTTTCTCGATTCTCCTAGATTAACTAAATTCCAAGTAAACATAATAACTCCCCTGATGATCTTGGCATCAGGACTTAGCCAGTATACAACTGTTATCATGTTTGCCTCCAAATGGATGAACGGTACTCAAAATAATTTATGTTATCTTGATCCAATGTATCTTGCTTTTCCTTTTATGATGGCAACTCTAGGGAATTCTTAGTTCATATAAACTTCCTAATGACTAGTTATAAATTTCTTTTTTTTGAAAAAAAAAATTGTAATAAATATATTTGGATCAGTTATGTCTTATCTTAGTTATTATTATTATTAATGTTCTCTTTCTTTAGCACCGATTGTATTATACAAATTGTCAAAATTATATCATTTTTTTACTCACTACCCACTTTGCAAGACTAATAATTTTCTTTTTAATCATTATAAGCCTAAGTAGAATTCAATATTTTTCTAAAAACACACATTATCAATGAATAATCAATTTATAAACTCTTATACAAAATCAAAAATTGCATAATATATAAAGTGACAAGTGATAAATTGCATGAAACCGAATTTAAATGCAAATATCACAATAACAAAACAACATAAAATATAAAAATGGCATAAAAGTATCATTATAATACAATATCAAGTTCAACTCCAAGTTCCTTCTTTCCTGGTTCCTTGCTCATCCACAAATAATTTCTAAATAAAAGAGTAATAGTATAACAACTCAAAAGTTATCTACGTTGTCATTACTGAAGGGGTATTTACTTGAGTTCATGTCGTAACAAATTGCTTTCACCCCTATCTCATCACTTATGAAGTCCAATGGTTCTTCATTGATTTCAGTGATCTTCTTCTTTCAAAAATATTTATCATTAACATAAAGATAAGAGTAATATTCTAAATTAAAAAGGCTTAAAAGATTAAATTCTCGCTCTTGAATATAAGACAACATCAACTCTCTCACAGAATTGATGTTGTGTCAAATACTTTGACATTGTCAAGTTATTCATATATGCTTTCATTTCCTTCCTCATATCAGACACTTTGATACATGGTGCCACATTCTCATAGGATTTGGATAGATGTTCATTCATCCTAGTTACACCACACTTCACCATAATCTCACAATAATTACATTTCAAGCAAACAAGTCTTATCACCGCCTCCCACATCAACTAAATGCTATGTTTCCACACCAGTTCCTTGACGTGATTTTTTTCCTTGCCTCTAACAAAAACCCTAGAATAGAAAGTTGAGAATAATAAAATATTCAAAGGTGAAATGATCAAAATTAACCCTAAAATTTTGAAAGCAGATGAAGAAAACTTGGGGAAGAAAAAAATAGTGTAATATGAAAAGGAGAAGGAGGTGACGGCACATTTAGGCTCCCAGGTGGTCGCCAATGAAGATGGAAGCAGCCTGGCAATAGGGATTTCCCATCCAGAAGGAAGTTGAGACACTGCTTTGGCTTCAACTCGGGTGCATGCATTTACAATTGAATTAGATTAGGTTTTAATTTTATAATTTTTTAATTAAAATCATCTTTTGAGGCATATGCCTTGAGCCAAAAAGGCAAGGCAAATTGAGGCGTATGCCTCAAAAAAATTACTCAAAGTGTGCACCTCGGGGCATTTTTCCCCATAATTGAACTAAGGTGTGTATCGTATTGCGTAATTTTAAATAGTATTAAGGAGATAGAAATCGGACTAGTCTTTAACTAAATAATGCCAAAGTAAAATTTGTACAAGAATTTATTTTTATTTATTTTTTAGAATTAATTTTTTCAGTTCTTTTTTTTCTATTGTTTCTTCATTAGGAGTGGGGGGTAAGTTCCAGTAGATGGACCACATAAATTTATTTAAAAATAAATATGACTTTTTAAGTCTATTGATGTTAGGTAAGGTAGTCTTACTTTTCTTCTTCCATAAGCATAATTCAAGTTTTCAATCTAGATGGAATCAACAGGCGAACCACAAATATGACAATATGTCACATAATGCTTCATTTCAACCAAATCTAAAGAGGTACTAGGCCTAGATACCTCTAGAACTTATGTATGGCATTTCCTTAATTCCTTGCCTAGAAACTCCTATGAGAATTTGAACACTAGCTCTACTCAAGCATACAAAAATTTTTTATGAGCATTGCAAATTTTTACTTCTTTTTTCCTTCCTTACTAGTAGACATATAGTCTGTAATATGTTTAAGAGGAGCTAATCCATCATAAATTTGATCATCTTAACAACTTCTCAGTTAAATAACTAATAAGTTTGCTTATTTCCTTGTTTCATATAAGCATAAGTCAGCTTTTGTAGGTGAAGTGAATTTTTAAAATGTCTCTGAATTTTATTTTTTTTTAAAGGTTTGACGTCAATGGCTACTTGTCAATGGTGGGAGAAAAATAGTGTATCCTTCTATTATATTTATTATGATGTGTGCATGCATGGTTATCATGGTATTATTATTCACATATATGCAAAAGTATGAAATTACTATTAAACTAAGAAGCTAGGCATAAAACCCCTCATGGGTCTGTCTAAATGAATGTTGCAAAAACGCTAGGCATAAACCCATCAGCGCATAGCACATAGTAATACAAACCTTATGATCGAATCTAGTCGCTATGCATCTAATAAATTAAACTACCAAGAACATTTTTATAACATATGGAGAATATGAGGAGGTAATTTACAATTAACCCTGTTTATAATTTACTCAAACAAATAGTGGGTGAAATTGGAAAATTTGAGCATTTCTGGTTTCATCTCTGGCCTTCTCATACAGACAAATCCCAGATTATTGGGATGAGATGATGATAATGAAGAGGAGCAAGCACATCTTCAAATTAATGGTTCATAGGTGAAGATTGCAGAAATAGATTTCTACCATAAAGATGCATACACTAAAATTAACGTATTTTAGAGCATTGGGCCCTAATTGAAAATGCAAACATATCTCCTCTCTCAGCAAATATTTTTTATTTGGCACCATGCAACTTCATATGTATTGTTTGACTTTGTGTTATGCTATCACAATGTAGAAAAACAAACACATTCTGCAAAAGAATTTTTAATTTCAAGAATAAAATAGTTATAGTGCTAACATAAGGCATATTAAGGGCTTAATAATACATGAAACATAATAAACTACATATAAATAATACATGTAGCATATTTAGGACTATCTCCACAAACAAAATCCCAACATACCCCTGGTCATGCTAAGGGCTCAATAGGGAGTACTGCATTTTCTCCCTAATTGAAAAGCCCCGATGTTTATTAAACTTTCTTTACTTCACACAATCCCCACCCAAATTTCAGTTCCTATTTCACAGGGGAGGGAGTACACTTACAAAGTAAAGAATTCCATCCTGGAATAGAAATGACAACAGACAAGACTAAGGTGTTGAACACGACAACAAGAATAAACTTACGATAGCGTACGGAGAATTAGGGTGCTTTGCTAGAAGCGCTGTTGAAAGCTTAAGAGCCGTCTTGAACTGACGAGAATCAACTGCGTCCCATATCGGCCGCACCCTTCGCTCCGGGATCCCACCAGCGAGCCCGGGCTTCGAGGTCATTGGACCTTAGGTTTTGGATTTCAGAATGAGGAGGCTAGGGTTCCTCGCGTTTAGTTTTCCCCTAGACTGCAGTTTTTGAAACGACTAACGGGAAGAACGGCGCTATGTAGGGAATGACCTCAAGGTGCAGTTTCGTAAGTGTCTGCTGCCAAAAGCAGAACCTTCAAGGAGAATTAGCCGAGAAGCAAGGTAAACTCGTGAAATCAGTGATTTTGTTAAGCAGGAGTGGTGCGAATAAAGGAGCGGGACAATACCACTGTAAATATATAACTAAAATTTTAATATTATATCTATATCAAAGCAAATATGAGCGCATGAAATAAAATATTATAGAAATTTACATATACATTATTTTATTTCATGCTATTTATATATTTAACATTTAAAACTTTAATATTCTTATCACTCATATCACCTTATAAACTTTAATATTTCATTTTATGCACTCATATTTATTTGATAAGTGGTAGGCATATAATATTAAAGTTTTAGATGTTTTAGATTTTGTAAATAGCATGAAATAAAGTGGTATGCATGTAAATCTTCCTAAAATTTATATGGTGATATGGGTGGTAAGAATAAAATATATGAATGAGATATTTAATATTAGAATTTTATATGAGTGCTAGAAATGTAATATTAAAGTTTTAGGTATCAGATATGTAAATCCCCCATAAAAGAAAGGACCAATAATTCGATTCAGATTTAATTCATATCATAAAATATAAGTTTAGGTTTAATTTTTCATCCCGTTTAATTAACAATTCAGATTTAGGTACATGCTAATTACAAATGACCTAATTTTCACCCAACAAATTTGACTGGAAATTTTTGATATGTATATAGATATGTTACGTAATAATTAAAATTTGGAATAATAGAATATTGATTATGACATAGTTAAAAAAATCCAAATAAATGGGTTTTAAAGTTATAATTGTAATTCCACTTCGCCTAAATTCTTTTGATTATTGATTGTCTTAAATTGCACTTAAATTGCAATGCAAATTTATTTTCGATCTCAATAGATTATTTTTTAGGGTGGATCGGGTTTAGATTCAAGGTCTTGACTCACTAAATGGGTCGGGCTTAAGTCGGGTAGTTTCAAAGCAGGTCAATTTTGGGTTGAACCAAATCTGACTCAATAACTCATTTTTATAACCCTATTATGCATGGTCTGGCATGACATAATAGGGCAATTCGTTCAAATTGATCCCATATGGGAAAATTTTGAATTAGGAGACCTTTTAATTATTCTTAACTCATTGTTACGAACTAATATCACTAAATTATTTTACTCATTCAAATACCACGAAATATCATGTTGGTAAAAAATAATCTTAAATGTAGGAAAGTATGATTTTATATGCTCCAAAATATTTGATATTGAAGAAATATATTCGATTTTTTATTTTTTTAAGAAAATAAACCAAAAAGTTTTGTTAGAACAAAAAGACCTCAAGGAAATACGTCCCAAATTTCTTTTTATAATAAAATATTGACGGACTCCAACCTATTTCTAGAGCATTTTCCTTCTCTGGTGATTTTATTTCGTGAGTGATGGTTTTAATATAATGTATTTATGTCTCTATCTTTGGCTAGCTGGAAATTATCATTGAAAGTCATTGATATTAAACATTTGGCAAAGTTTACATCTTTAACGATAAATATATGCTTATAATCCAAACATTAAACCTAAAAGGATGTTAGATGTAAGATTATCAGCTTTGAAAACTGCTGAAAACTTATTTTGATCGTGATCTAAATATAGTCGGCACATGATCAAACATTCTATCAAGCTTATTTAAATCTTGTTTGTATTTTGAAAAAAAAATTGAATAATTAAAGAAGCTTCAATCTTAATACAAATGTGGTTCAATCGTAGTCCAAAAAAGATTTGATCAAAGCTGAAACATTTTTCAAACAATAGCAATGTTGATTTGTTTCAATAAATATTTGATAAAACTTCAAGCACATTTTGAATTTTATTTTGCGCTCACTTTTGAGATTGACTCATTTGAGTATTTTTTTTGCTTATGCATGCCAATGTATGCTTATATCACATATAAAGCTAAGATGTGATGAAGAAAATTATTAGATAATTTGTGTTACTTAAGGCTAATGACATCATTGTGTTCAGTATGAGATGCAAAATACAATATCATGCATGTAGAGAGGCATCACACAATTTTATGTGGATTTGGTACAACTTTTAATGGATGTGGTGTTGAAGATCAATGCAAAGCTTGTAATTTAAATTCATAAGTTTTTTAAAAAAATTAACTAATAATGCAAGATGAAAATAATATTAATCCATGTGATCCTCACGAGTATATTTTATAGTGATATAGATGTGGTCAAATTTAGGATCTTTATAGCTATAAGTTGTGTCATAATGATATAGGTGTGATCCTCAATAGTAAGTTTTATAGTAATTTAGCTATTGAGATCATACTCAACATTATTACTATAAAACATTTTAACTTGGTTCATTTGCATAGAAATTTGAAAATAGGATGGGATTAGGGTGGGTCTTAAATAGTTTACTAAATTAGAATGAGTCAACTTGTTTTAATTATATTCAAATCTTATTCAAACTAAATTTAAATCTTAATAGAACCTTATTCTAACAAGATCTAAACCTTGTTAAAATATGTTTAGAATCCTTCTCAACAATCACTGCTATAACAAGAGTCAATTTTGGTTCAAAATTTTCTTAAACATGCTTCAACTATTATTTGAACCTATTTCAATATTAGTTCAATGAAGGTTCCAAACAAGTTCAAAGCAGTTTCAACCATAGGTCCAACCTATAATACCTTGTATATCAACACCCCTCTAGAATTTGAGTTGGTCCAACCAAATAGCACAACCCAATTTCCTTCACTTTGCCTCAAACATTATTAAATCCAAATGTGAACTACAGACATTATGAGAGATATGAGTGAGCAAGTGGTAAAGATAAGAGCAAGCTTGAGCAAGAGCTTAGGGTGACTGAAGGGGAGCGAGTAGGAGACATAGGGCATGGACATTAGTTGGGAGTTAGATTATTGACTATAAGCCTTGAAATTGAAAATAATAAGTGATGGCTTCATGGATTCTAATGAAAAAGAAGAGTTTAAATGAGGGTGAGGAGAAAACCCTTACAAGTTTCTCTTAGATTATTTTTCTTCATCATCTTCATAGTAAGACCCTCATATTGTTCCTTCATTAATAATATGAAACTCAGTGGTTATTATTAGGGTTGAGATTAAGCTATTTTATTTGTAAGAAATCTTCTAATTACATTAATAAAAAATCTAAATGTTATTCCTTAATGAGTTAAATGTATGAATATATGATTTGAATTCTCTTTCTCACTTTAAGAACAAGTTAAATCTAGTCTAAACTTCTCTTAATTTATACTTAAAGATATAATTATCATGATTTGATCTTTAACCTCAAGGTGCTTTCGCAAGTGGTTATGTTAATAAAATTATTATGTGCCAAAAGATGAATTGTAGTAGAGAGAGAGAGAGAGAGAGAGAGAGAGAGAGAGATTAATGTCTTAATATTATATAAATATCCAACATATATACTCAAAAAGATAAGAAAGGATTGCAAGTGAAATTAGAGCTTTTATATGAAAAACCCAGAGAACAAAAAAATTATGGGGCTAATAAAGTTGAAATGGTTCTCTATTATTTGTCATCCATTATAAGTAATATCATTCTTCATGATTGAGGAAGGTGTTGATATAATATAGTAAACATAAACTATACAAAAACAAATTTCATTGTATAAGTTAGAAGAGCTCTATGACATAGGAGCTACTTTAAGAGAATATTTATTATAAATTTGGTCATTCTCATTTGGAGGCAAGGCTAATGACCAAGCAATTTAGTATAAATTTTGACATTAATATTGGGTGTCAGAGTTGGTGTTGATAGCATGAATATGCATGTTAGATGATAATATGAGTCAGAACCAATGGTTATAGTGAGTGATAAAGTCAAAGGGTAATGATGTATTTAGGCAACAATGGTTATGAGACTATAATGGGTTTATAATGATTTGGAGATCATACTCGTACAATAATGGTTAGGATACCATTATTAAGTGAAGGTGGTTGAGGGACTCCTATCTAATGATGATGGTTAGAGGTCCATAATCGAATGACGATGATCAAAGGATCATAATTAGACAGTGGTGATTAAAGGACCGTCATCAGGTGATAATATCAGAGAATCATAGTCAGGTGAAATTGGTTAGAGGATGAGAGTTGGACAAAGGTAGCTAGAAGACTATAGTGGTGGTTGGAGTAATGTAGTGAGATATTAATAGTCAAAGGACTAGTATGAGACAATGGTTCTTTGACAATCATAATCAAGAGAGGTAGTCAGAGTACTATAGCCCAGCTATAGAAGTTAGAGGAATGAAGTTAATTAATGGTGGTTAAGAGAAAATAATTGGGTAATAATGATTTGAGGATCAAAGTTGGGTGATATTGATTGAGATATTGTAGTCGGATAATGGTTGTTAGGAGAACATAGTCAATCAATGGTCATTAAAAGATCATAGTCGAGTGAATTTAGTTATAGAATTGCATGCAGGTCACTATTACTCAGATACCATAGCCAGGTAAAGGTGCTCAAAGGGTTGTAGTTAGATAATTATGGTTAGGTAATTATAGTTGGGGGTGTAAAACCTGATGCAATATAATTTAGTAGGAATTTTATTTATATATCTATGAGTTAATTTAGTAAGTAAAGGTTTAAGGATTGAAATAGAGAAGTCAGCAATTAAGTGGGGAAATCTCTCTTAGGAATGTTATGCATGGTGGTGTTTAAGTTTCCATATTGGAGTGGTAATTTAAAGAGAACAATGATGCTAGTGAGGGTGCTATGGGCCTAAGCTTTCTATTTGGGAATATCTCAAATATTCTATGGAGCATTACAGCACTAGGAAGATAAGTTTTGTGATATTGTGTCAAAAATCTATTTTAAAAAAATATACTCACTTTGCTTAGCTGACAAAGAAGGAGAATAGAAGGAAGAGGAGAAGAAGAGGAAAGAGAAAAAGGAGAGGGATTTTAGAGGCAATGTCCATTCATCATGTCAGTTTAGGAAAATGTCTATCTTGAGATAATCTAAAACTACCTTATTTCTAATTTCAATTTCAACATTTATACAAAAATATAGGAAATAAAATATTATTTTATTTATTTAAGAAACTTTCCAACAAGCA